TCATCCGCATTCAAAAGCCGACCGGATAAAACCTTTCGAGATTCATGAATGATCATCTCGTACGTCGCTCAAGATCGGATCATGACATAGCATTTGAACAAGTGGCACAACAGAAGAAATGGCACACTTGACATCAACATTTGTCTTTCCTCTGCCCTCCTTTCCACGCTTTCATGGTGTGATACCTCTGACGACTCCTTCTGGTGTGGTACCGCCTTGGTTTCAGGCTTTCGTTCCTGCCACCGACTCATTCAGGAAAGACCTCGTTCCAGACTCTCCACCATACGAAACACTTCAAGTTGAGCTCACTGGTGGAATGTTTGCTTGTCGCCAACCGGCACCCATCAACCGTGCACTGGCTGCTAATGCTGTCCATCCCACAGTACTAGATGGATCACTTCCATTGAGTGCTTTGGTTGCGCCATGCAAATCCGATGCTCCTTCCTCCAAGAAGGCCGGCTTTGCCACCCGTCCAATGATCGTGATCCCTCCTTCGGGTATCTCGCTCAGATTCTCTTGCTTGACTTTCCTTCGCGCACCTTCCATGATTGTGGTCACGTCACTTTTCTCCAAATCATCCCGTGCTTGCATTAAGGCTTCCAGAAAAGCTAATTGTGAGCCATGCGCTTTTACAAACGTCAAATAGGATAAAGACACCATCATCGATGATGAAGTGATCATCTAAAGAACCATATCCAAGACTTCAAAGCGGGATTCCAACGTCTTCGGCGGGTGAACCAATGCGGTCAAATATTAATGAATGTCGATCAATGTTTACTCAAATCTACCGAAGACATCCACGATTTGCTCGTTCGTCAAACAGGTGCTAGACATGACGCTATGAATCGTTCTATCAGATCATTGTATAACCGGATTGAGTCTTTCACTGTGACCAAAAGTGTAATCCCGAATCGGTTCATGATGCTTGTCAGGATGCCTTCTGTAGACCATCGCGGATCAACAAACAGTTCCTTCAAGATCGGTCTCAATCAGCAAACATAAGGTCGACCAAGACTTAGATACAACGCTTGCTGACGTGATACCTCGGAAGGTCCTTTCTGATGTGGTATGTCTGACGGCGCCTTCTGATGTAATGCCTCTGCTGTTTTCTTCTGATATGCTACCTCTCCCGATCTTTCCTGACGTTGTACCTCTAACAGTCCTTTTCGGTGTGATACTTCTACCATTTCTTCCGGATGTAGTATCTCTGGCAGTCATTCTTAATGGATTAAATCTACCGCTCCTTTCTATCGGGAAATCTCTACCGATCCTTTCTATTAGGGTACGTTTAGCGTTCTTTTCTATTAGGACACATCTGCCGTTCCTTCCTCATATGATACCTCTACGGATCTTTTCTGGTGTGGCACCTCTGACAGTTTTTTTCTGATGTGATCCCTCTGACGATCCCTACTGACGTGATACATATGCTGTTCCTTTTTGATGTGACACATCTCACGGTGCCTTCCGTTGCAATACTTCTACCGCTCCTTTCTGATGTGATCCCTCCGACGATTCTTTCTGATGTGATCCCTCTGCCTATCCCTTTTGGTGTGATACATCTGCTAACTCTTTCCAATGTGTTGCCTCTACCAATCTTTCCTAATGTGATACCTCTGACGGTCTCTTCTGATGTGATATCTTGAGCGTTCCTCTCTTCTGTGATACGTCTGGTGTTCTATTCCGATGCGATACCTCTCCCGTTCCTGTCTGATACGTTACCTCTGGCGATCCCTTTTGGTGTGGCATCTCTGACGATTCTTTCTGGTGTGGCATCTCTGACGATTCTTTCTGGTGTGGCATCTCT